ACCTCTCTCTCTCTCTCTCTCTCTCTCTCTCTCTCTCTCTCTCGCTTAAAAGAACTATCATCTTCTTCTCAAATAATTCTTGCTTGAAATGAATGAACATCTATTCCTATTTATACTAAGAAGAGGCGGTGCACCAAAGTTCTCTTATTGGCTGGCAATAAACTTGTTATCCAAGTTGTGGATAACTATATCAAACTAATGACGGTACAAAAATATCTTCTATATTCTAACATTCATGATCGCCACTTGTAAGTCACTTAATATATTTGATAAGCTACAGCCACCTCTTCTTTTAAATAGAAAATATTTAATTAATATACATATATATATATATAATATAATATAATAAGATATAAATATTATTTAGTATACAAAATGAGTATATCCGAATTGATCCATTGAGCTTATATATATATATTTAACCAAGATAATTACTTATAAATATATAACAATTATTTTTCTTTAATTTTTTTTTTATAAAAAAAAACGAACTCTCACATTAATCCACCAAGAGCTTATATAACCAATTGCTAGAAGTGCAGCTGCAGGGAACATGACCATTAATATCACACCAAAAAACTGCTCGGTTGTGAAATAGCTGAGGAAACTGTTGGCCCTGCCGCCGGCAGTGCCATTTGATTCTGGAGTAGTAGTAGTGGTAGTAGTAGTAGTAGGCGTCTGCTGATCAGATTCTGATGATGATGGCAGCAACGGCTCAGATTTTCTCTGCTTCAACAGCTCATCGAGGAATGTCAGTGCAGAGGCCAAGTGAGCAGACACTCCAACAGCTATTAGAGGTAGAGATGTGTAATCTTCTGAACTTGGCCAATGCACTCGGCCTCAGATGCGCTGCAAGTGCCTGTTGCCCAAGAAAGGACGGGTGGTGTTGACAGTGTCAAAAGAACCAAACCCTGCAATTATGTCTATTAATTATATTCTGCAAATGCTTTATTCATCTATAATGTATTCATAAGTCTACTTTTTGTTAGTACAACATTTATTTTTATACAAAAATTTAATTATATGCAAAAGTACATTGAAATTATTTGTGACCAGGACGAACTTACAGCGGTAAAGCTAAATCTGGAGAGCAAGATCATCCAGTAGCTACCCGTGAAACCAGTCATGTAGACTATGAAAATCAAGCCCACTGGTATTATACCAACCATGCCCGAGTACAAATTGACAATTGCAGCAGCGTGTGTAATACTGAGCTCCCATACATCAGTTAAGTATGTAGCCATTATCGACATGATATATGTGGTGAGTAAATTCGGCACAACCACAACTACAATTGAAGAGCAGAAGGAGAAAATAATATTAATACACACACAAAAAAAAAAAGTTATGATGAAATATTCTCAATTAGATATTAAAAGTTGGGTTAGTAATTTTTAAGACGCAGTGACTCAAAGGGTGTGTCAGTCGGCTTACCGCTGGCCTTCAGCAGAGACGGTGCCATTTCTGACTCCAAGAGATGGAGGAAGTTGGGGAAGAAAACAGAAAGAGCTAAGAAATCGAACTAGACTATGAATTATTTGTTATGTACCATGAAGTAAATATACTTTATTGAGTTAGGTAAGAGACGATTCCATTATCTTTATATGTTTGGACGAAAGAAAGAAATAATTTAGAATTTAAAGAAAAGTCAAAATTTCAAAATTGACATTTTATGAAAAAAAATTATAAGTATTAATATTTTATAAAGACCATGGTGGTCCAAATTAGTAGTCTCTGGCCGAAGAAAAAGAGAGGTGTATAGTATATGGTTCGCACCGCGAGTTTGCTCATTTTAATATGGTGGCTTGATTAAATAAACTGTGAGTCTTTATTTTGAATATAAGTGATAGTTCCTTTTTTTATTGGGCATGATTAACTCATTAATTATAGAACAATAATTTGGATGGTCATTTGAAATTTCAATAAGGCATCCTCTCGTACCTGCCAAATAAAAAAAAATTAGGACAGCTGTACATACCATTTAATAAGACTCAGATGCTTTTATTTATAATAGTTCATACAATATTTCAACCTTAAGTCGAATTCACACATTGGAAAGTTTGCTCATGTTTTATTTGGACTACTAGCTGTCATTAGTCTTTTTATATTCTGACTTAAAACTAAAGTGTGGACCTTTAAATATATACAAGAGTCGGCAGGCATATATATGTATGTATATATATATATATATATGAAAGCTTCCTAGATTGCATTTTCAGTGATCGGGAAAGGAGTGGTAACCGGAGATGCCTAACGGTAGCGAAGATCCGGAAGAGCCGAACGCGTCTGACCACAGCATTATAGAGTGTGTATGCACCCTTATAGGCTCTGCATGCCTATGTGTAGCCCCCGTTATACGGTGTACAATCGCCCTTATAGACTGTGCATTCAAACCTATAATAGATATTTATAAAAATACCCAATCTTAGACATGTATTTATAAAAATACCCAAGCACTATTTAAACATAGAAACATACCCAAAATGGGTTTTGGGTATGTGTGTGATGATGAGTTTTGGGTATGTTTATAAATAGGTTTTGAGTGTGTGTAATGATGAGTTTTGGGTATGTTTATAAAGTGTTTTGGGTGTTGGGTATTTTTATAATTTCAGCCCCCATTTTGGATATTTTAGTGAAACTCCCAACTTATAATGAGTTGGTGAGTTGCTATGTAATTTTCTCTTCTTTTTTGTTTCTCTCTTAAATTGAAATAGTAATTTAATAGCGCAAAAGGATGAAGGTGGAAATAGCAGCATTCTTATAGTAATTTGGCTAATATATGAAGAACCATAATAATTAATAGGGCAAAATTTAGAAAAAAATTAATATCTATCGACTCTTTCGTGGTAACATTAATTATACCCTAAGCCCTTACTCCGAGTTCTTATATGTATACGTGCAGTGCTTATATCATGTGTTGCTGCTGCTTCTGCGTGTAGAGCTCTGCTCACAGACAGGGTGAAGGAGGGCTTTGCTTTTGCTGATAAATAAATGTTGGCATGTTGTCTTATGTTTTGCAGCTAGTAATATCCACTTCATTAATTCTCTCTTAATTTTGTACTTCCCTATAGTTTGCCTCTCAACTTGCTGATCGCTGTTATTCCATTTGCTTTGCTTGCCCAGCGTTAGAGGACGATGTTGTGAGATGCTGACACCTGTCATTAGATGAGTAAGTGATGTTTTGAGATGTTGACATGTGTGATGAGCAACTTTGTCAGTTTATATTGTTGTGTAAGAGAGAAAGGATACAAAGGCCAAATATATTGTGTAATAATGATCTATCTGAACAACAACACAATATTCTCAATTCTCTTGACTTCTTTTATATTGCCTCTCTTTTCGATTTTAAAGTCCCAAGTCTTTGAAAGTCATCAAATCTCCAAATGTTTTCTTACAATTTTGCAATCTCCCATATCCTTTATGATTCCTACGTACGGTTTCAAGTTCTGTGAATGTAGTAAAAGATTGGTGATTCAAACTATGTTGAAACTTTTCAAATGTAGTCAAGAAATTAAGTGTAGCTGCCAATAAGGTAAATATGGCTGGGACCCCAAAACTATAGGTAAGCCAAACACCGCAATGCACATCTTGTAAAACTGAGAAAAGTCCATGTCCTCGTCAAACACATCTGATATTGCTGACATCACCTGCTCGGTATAGAATGTCGCCAACGGGGTAAAGTGACCGGACATTCCCAGAGCTACTAGAGCTACCGCGGGGTAAAAGAGGATCTTTTGTACTTGGCCAACGCACTGGGGGGATCATAGGCTCTGCAAGGGGCTGTTACCCCCCAGCTAGGACTGGTGGTGTTGACATTGTCAAAAGACCTAACCCCTGCATTCCAAAATCATCAAGATCATTGTATTCTGTACTTTTTACTATCAGATTTACATGAATATTTGGTAGTGACATAAAAGTTTGGGTTAATATTTATAAATATATGGTGGCGTGATTATATATTAAATTAGTTTGGGTTAATATCAAAAGTAATGAGTAAACAAAGACTCTTAAATTAGTTAATAGGATTGTTGTTGGCGTGATTATACGACTCTTCAAGTTGGTGGTGCTTGCATCAGAAGAAATAATTTTAAAAGACTGAGATGCTTCAAGTTGGTGGTCTTTTTCTTTCAAAAAAAGATGTCGACCTCAGTGCATATGGAAGCTTTGCTGATTTAGAATTTTTTAATATGTCAATATTATTTTTCTTCCTTTTTTTTTTTCTCTAAAGAAAGGAGTGTTGGAAAAATGGCTCACATCAAGTATGCAAGTGAAGGAGGAAGCGACCGGTCGCTGGGTATTTGCGACCGGTCGTTTTGAAGCAGATTCGAAGTCTGGAGGTGAAGCTGGAAGTCGCGAAAAGCGACCGGTCGCCTTCAGTCAGAATGCAAAGCGACCAGTCGCCAGTAACGGGCGACCGGTCGCCAGGGCTGCTGTGCTGTTTTCTTCCACGCGTTTTTCAAGAGGTCTTCACATGTGTTGGTTCCCTACCTAATCCCTCGGGCCTCTAAGGTGTGTTATGGGTTCTAGGAGGTCTAGCAAGGTGCTGGAAAAGCTGGAGCACCATTGAATGAGGATTGTTGACTTGTTTCAAAGAGTACCTACCTTATAGCTCTAGATAGGGTGGCTGAAGTTGCAACTATAAATGCCTAGCCTTTGGTCTGCCCAAGTTGTGGTCCATGTTAGGTAACCAAGGGCAGAACGTCCTCTACTAAGTCCAAAGGTCTGCCTACAAAAGGGAAAGAAGATGCAAGACAATAAGTGTGGTTAATCTCAAAGTTGTCAAGTAGCTGGGAGCTATTGTGTTCAAAGGGAGGTTATCTCACCAAGGGAGGAAGAGAGAGAGGGCAGTCAGTTCAAGAGAGAGCTGAGTTGGGTCTTAAGAGTTTAGACACCAAAGAAGGGAAACACCAAGTGTGAGAGAGTGTTCACACAAGTGCATCAAAGTGTTGAGCAAGGGGTGAGAGAGAAAAGAGAGCTTGGGAGAGAATAGAGTTCTAAGGGGGTTTCTTTATAAACCAAAGTTGTAACTTATTCATTCATTAGTGAATTTCTCAAGGGGATCACCAAGAGGATGTAGGCATTTGCTGAACCTCTATAAATTCTTGTGTCACTTTGTGCTTGGTTGGTTTCTCAAGTGTGTGTGTGTGATTCATCCATTATTTTGTTTGTCACAAAGTCCATCAACAACAAGATCATTAGGGGAGTGAGTGAAAGTGTTTGTCCATTTTCACAACAAGGAGAAGTTGACATTGACCAACAATAAAAAAGTTGACTTACAGTCAATGAATTTCTATATCATAATGGAGTTTTTCATCACTATAAAGTTTCCGTGAACGAGAAAGCCAGAAATTGAAGTAAGTGTTTGTTTTCTCTCTCTTCTCTTCTCTTCCACTTCAACCTCCCTCAGAAATGGCACCGTCTAAGCTGAAGGCCGGTTGTAAGCAGATCTACTCCTTTGGGTCACTACGTTTCATAAACTATATATTAACCCAATTTTTTTTATATATTTCATCTCATAATACTTGGATTTTAAATATTACTTTCCATGTGTTCTTCAATTGTAGTTGTGGTTTGGCCGAATCTACTCGCCACATTGATCATGTCGATAATGGCTTCATACTTAACCGGTGCATGGGAGCTCAGTATCACACACGCTGCTGCAATTGTCAATTTGTATTCGGGTGTGGCGGGCATAATGCCAGTGGGCATGATATGTATAGTCTACATGACTGGTTACATGGGTAGCTATTGGATGATCTTGCTCTCCAGATTTGCCTTCACTGCTGTAAGTTTCAAATTTAGTTTTCATTTAAAACCACAAAATTTGAAGGATCAGAAATTTACAAATGAATAAAATAAGAATATGCAGAATAAAATGTTTATTTTTTTATACAAGCTATATTGGGGGAGGGGAATCGAACCTAAGGCCCTGTATCCTGGTGTAAATGTTAACCACTTGAGCAACAAGCTGTCATGTATGTAGAATATAATTGATTCGAGGCATTCAGCATGCATGATGATTTTGGAATGCAGGGCTTGGTTCTTTTGGCGATGTCAACACCTCCAGTCCTTGCTGGGGCAACAGGCACTTGCAGCGCATATAAGGCCGAGTGCATTGGCCAAGTACAAAAGGTTCTGTTTTACACATCATTACCTCTAATAGCTGTGGGTGTGTCTGCTTACTTGGGCTCTGCGCTGACATTCATCGATGAGTTGTTGCCCCAAACAAATCCTGAACAGTTGCCGCCATCAGAATCTGAGCAGTTGCCGCCACCACCAGAACCTGAGAAGTTACCGCCGTCACCACCAGAACCCGAGAAGTTACCGCCTCCAGCAGCTGAGCAGTTGCAGCCACCAGCATCTAAGAAGTTGCCACCAAAAGAAGTTGACAAGCAGAGTACTCCAGAATCAAATGGCACTAGTTGGGCCAAATTTTTTAAAAGTGAGTGGTTCTTTGGTGTGATATCAATGATCTTCTTCCCTGGAGCTGCACTTGTGGCAATTGGTTATATAAATCCTTGGTCGATTAAGTTTGGCATAGGAGCCATATGCACGGTGGTATCAACAATTATCTTCTTGTGTGGTTTATGTTCATTCCCACGTGGACGTGGAGCTGGACAAAAACCGATCAGTCTTACCAAAATGTTCAGGAAACAAGATGCCAAAAGCATCCTATGCCTGATGCCTACATGCATGACCTGTATCCTGACAGGTATTGTAGTTTCTATCGGAAATACTTACTTCATTGAACAAGCAACCGACATGAATCCCCATGTTGGGCGCTTATTGGTTCCTATTATTGTCCTTCCAATTTGTTTCCAAGGGTATCTGAAAGCGTATTTGGCGAACCAAATAAAATGGTGTGCTGCGGATCCCAGATTTGGAATTGCTGTGTCAAAGATAATTGCAACTCTGTGTTGTATCACAGCTGCAAAAGTGGAGACCCGAAGATTAGGCGTGGTGAGTGTTGTGCGGAAGCGTCAACCAAGTGCGAGTGAAAATAAACACAACTAGCAGGAGATAAAATGAACACAAACAACACCAACAAGAACACCAAGATTTATACTGGTTCGGCAATGCCTACATCCAGTTTGGAGACGACGGAGTATTCCACTATAATCAATGAGAACATACAACAGTGTTTATCACTCAATTTCCCAAAGACCCAAATAACCCAAGCTCACACATTTACAATAGGAAGAGAAACTGAAAATACAAAGCAAAGACAACTTGAGAGAATTTTCTTCTCTCTGCCGAATGGCTTCTTGCTGTTTCTCTCCCTCTACTCTATCTTCTTCAGCTGCTGCCATACTTCTCAATTTATAGAGAAGCCAACGGGTGAAGGCCAGCTAGTCAAATTATGAGGCCAACTATGAAGTCAGAAAGCCAGCCAAGCTTGCATGGCTTTTGTCTCCCACGTGCTCCCATCTTCTGCCAAAGCTTCGATATTCCTCTGCAAAGGCGCTGCAAAGTTGTTATTCACCTGCAAAGCTGCTGCCCCCACATGACAGCATCCTCCCACATGATAGCACAAAGTTCTTTCGGTGCAAGTTGAGCCATAATCAACAGTGAGGAGTGAGGGTTTGATCGAGGACACGAAAACAATTTCCATGACCATGTTTTGGTTGGTTCCACAGTTTCTTCTTCTCGGATTAGCTGAAGAGCTTTCAGAGAAGAGCATTGTTTGTTTCTTCACTGATAAGCTGGAAATTAAAACCCCGGAGGAAGACAAGGCAACAAAAGAGTCCAAGAATATGTAGATGAAAATATTTGCTCAAGCGGTTAGTGGAGTGGGAATTATATGTGGTGTGTTGTCAGTTTATGCAGTGGGTGAGATAAGTGCAAGGGTGGGAGGGTCCAGTTGGTTCCAGTTCACGCTAAACAGGAGTCGTTTGGACAATTACTATTGGACCTTGGCTGCATTGACTGCAATTAATCTTGTACTGGATCTTTTGGTGAGATGTGTAGTTTTTAGGGACTGATAAGATTAAGTATATTGTATTTATACGTATTTGTTATGTTTCAGTGGTATTGTGGATGTGACGCAGCGTGATAATTGAATGGCTAAAACTATAGTCTAAACACACCAACTCTGGAGTCTGGACTACAGATGATAACATTTCCAAGTACAGTAGAGATAACTTTTGGGAAGAACAGCAGCCTAACAGAGTTTTTCCTACGTACGAAACCATTATTTCAAAATACACACTTGTTTCTGAGAATTTTGAAAACAGTGATAGGTTTGAAGAATGCCGCGTACGATGTCTAAACTCCAGAAGTTGACATTCTGCTCTACCAGCTTACTTTATTTAGAAAACAAAATCTAACTTCATCCTTCAAGTTGAAAATTACTTATCCACACATACAAATATGTTCGCCTCCTCCATCCATATGAGAATTGAGATGTCGTTAAAGACATCACAGATCTTTAAGTGGCAAGTACTCTGTATCACTTTTATTCGACATCACCTTTCAATACAAATCTTTACAACTATTTACTCATCACAGCTGTGGAATTGTAATCACATAATCTCGTCCAAGAAAAGATATAAGAGACATGTAATATAAACCGTAGATACAAAATTATGCCTGGCAGAGCTGCACATTATCATCAACAAATGGCTCAGCAGTTTCATCATAATCAGGAGCTTCCTCATCCTCCGCCCTAGAATCCTTGTAAGCATACCAAAAGCTCACCAAAACATACAGAACAAGATTAGCTGCAGACAATGCAGCCAAGGTCCAGTAATAATGATCCAAGCGACTCTTGTTTAGGGTGTCTTAGAACCAACTGGGTTTCCCTTCCTGTCCACTTATCTCACCCACTACATAAACATACAAGACACTGCCTATACTCCCCACTCCCAAAAGAGCAACACAAAACCGAACCATGCACCGATACATGGATGGAGGGACTTGCTTAACTAAGAACGAACCAATGCTACTTTCTGCAATCCCTTCAAAGCCTCCGAGGAGAAGAAACTGTGGAAGCAACCAAAACATGCTCATGGGAACCGTTTCCTCAGGCTTGTTGATTAGACCGTGGCTCTTAACCACGCCCAACCTTCGTGTCTCCACTTTTGCAGCTGTGATTGAGCATAGAATTCCAAATATCATTGACACGGCAATTCCAATTCGGGGACCATACCTTGTTAGTTCTGCAATTTGGAAGTCGAGTTTTCCAAATAGTTGTTTGGCAAGAGTATAGAACCATACCAAGATTGGAAGAGGAACTGTTATGCGCCCAACTTTGTGATTCATGTGGGTTGCTTGTTCAATGCAGAAACTAGTTCCAATTGAAGATACAACACCAATTAGGATAAGTGTCATGCATATGGGAATCACGCATAGGACGCTTTTGGTTTCTTCCACTTCTGTGACTCTGCAAAGTCTCCAACTATTATTTTCTTGTTGCTCTAGAGGTTGGGTGGCTAATATAATTGCAGCCTTGTCTAGGCACCTAAATTTCAATAAGTAATTTGTGGGTTTAAAATGCTGCACTAGGTGC